AATCACCATCAACCCAGGCTTCAAGTTCGTTCAGCTTCTGACAATGAGGTGCGGTGCACCGTTTGTCCCTGTGCACTTGGTTTCGTTTTCATCGCAACCACATACATTTTTGACCCTGTCGCGATTCCGCTTTTCGAGTTCGTGGGCTTTGGAGGTTTCATGGAGGTATCATTTTGCCTGAGCCCTGAGGCGGTCATGCCCAGGTGGGCGTGTGGCATGAGGCTTTTCAACGACCCAGAGCGTTGTCCATCTTGCGGCTCAAGTCATAGCGCCGGTAACACCGTAGCAGTTGTTTGGATCATTTGGTCTTGTGCAAAAAGAGTTGGCTTTGCAAAGTAAATCATTGGAAACCAACTGGCACGTGAAAAAACGGGATACATGCAAAAAATATGAAAGAAACCAATTATTCTTGCAAGGTTGTTGGCTTGGTCATAACGTTCATTGTTTTCAAAAGTCCCATCACTTGATGTTGTGGTCTTCAGCTTCGTCTTCTTCTTGGAAGTGCTGGCCTTGAAACTGACTGGAAAGCCAAACTGGTATTCTTCAGCAACTGTCAATTTGCAGAAACAGTTGTTACCCTTGGCCAACAGATCGGGTTCCAGTGTCGTTATTTAATCTGATTTCGACATTTTGCCTAGGTACACCACTTCTGGAACATGGTTGCCACAGGCATTGCAAGCATTACGCAGATCAATTCACTGGGTATCAAGGAAATTTATGAAACAAAGCAGTTGATATTTCAGGAAAGCAAGCATTCAAAGGCTGGGACGTATGCAAAACCATGCAATTGCCTTGGCAGCCCTTTGTATGCATGTGCATTGAAATAGGATACCCCAGCCGCAACCAACACCCAGTGGTTGGAGGGTCTCTGTTGAAATACAACGGTTCATAGTGACGCACATTTTTGTTGTCCGAACAGGCGTTTATGACCGCTTCCTGGACCCGAAGTGAAAATCATGAGCAAACGAAGTAGCTCGGACTGGATGTGTTTTGTGCAAGCGAAGGCGCACATGATCTTTTGGAGGGCACTTGTGCCGCATCACTGAGGCTCGGGGCTTTGGATGAGACGCAGCCTTCCCGAAGGTCTGGTCTTCCATTGAATGTCTTTCTATACTTGAACTATTGTTTTGCACAAATACTTGCATGGAGTACAAACCAAGAATGATGGCACTTGAAGAGAGAGGGACAGAAAGAAAGAACTTGTCTTGCTGAGTTTCGATGAATCAAAGAGTCTTAAACATGCGATCATACAAGACGTTGAGAGCTTGTGGAGGCCAATAGTTGCTCCTCTGAATGGCTTGGCAGCAAACCGAGCACGCAGGATGAAGTGCGCCAATTCAATGTCTGCGCTTCAACATTGTTTGTTTAGGTGAACGCCAGTGGAGGCTGGTCCATGCCTTTATACAGTATATACATATGCTTAAAACTGTTCTTTAGGCTGTGTGACCTCACCTTCATTGTTGGCTGCAAGGCCTCCACTCTCGGGCTTCCTATACTCCCAGGTGCCCCGAGAACGGTTGCGAAGTGCTTCCAGAACCGACCAGAGAGCTGCTGAGTTTGCATGATCGTTCCAGGTCTGCACCAAGGACGATGAGGACCGTCTCTTGCGACGATAAAGCAGGGATCGAAGTACCTGGAGTGCATGACGTGCCTCGCAAGGGCTTCCTGGCCTAGCCTGGAAATTGGAAGAGCCGACGTTGAAGCGATGGACTGGTGGTGTGGCCGACTTGTGTTGTGAGATGGTTTGGCGAACTTGCTTGTTTCATGCCCTAGAGTGTGCCACCAGAGTGCCAGGTTTTCCGAGTTTGAGTCCCAGCTTGCAAATGCTGTACCTGATTCGAGGTGGGAATTAAGGCCCCACAGCCAAGCTTGAGCAAACTCTGGTAACGACCGCCATAGGTGCCTCTATCCCTGGTTGCAACAAGCTCCCGACTTCAAGGAGGCTCATTTTTGCACAAACATCACCTGAAGATTACAGTGATTGGAATGCGTATACCTTGCCAGGTAGAGAAAGAACTCTCGGGAAACTTTACTTTCAAGGATTTCAAGCAGGCCATGCCGCCATGCCAAGGAGTGGGGCTTCTTTGTCGATTTCAGCCTTTTGGGTCGATTTCAGGGCTGGAACTTCATGGACTTCTCCAACTTTTCCGTTTGGTATGAGGCGAAGTGGAAGAAAGACATGACTTGGAGGTCACTGGGCCCACTTGAAATCTGATCGCAGGAGCAAGCACGAAGAAGCTCAATGTCTCCTTTAGAGGTGCTAGTTGGTGTCAGTTGGTCATGTTGAGTTGTTGCACTACACAGCTAGAGGGCTTCAATGTAGAGAGGCCGAGCCAAGTTGGCCACCTATCTTGGAGGCTCAGGGATTTTTTTTCAAAATGATGACCTTAGTAAATTTAGTCTGCTTTCCTCGTGACATCGCAGCGCACAATCTTTGATTGCTAGGCTTCTTGGTGCAGGTGTGATGGTGGTGTCGGTGCTGGTGCTGGTGCGGGTGCGGGTGTGGGTGCAAGTGCTGCTGGTGGCGGTGGTGGCCATGATGACGATGATCTATTTTTGAATACAACACATGATGGTATGGTAGTGTGCTGCTTCTGTTGTAACAAGCAGGATTGGTTGAGGAGGTTCGATGCTCAAGGCTATGACAACCAATCATCAAAACATCATAAAGTTTTTAGCAGATGACACCCGTGCAGGTCTGCGGCAAACCTGTTTAATGTTTAGTGCTCTGGACAGCCAGACAGCCAGTAAGCATTGCTGGCCTTTCATGCGCTTGCCAATGAAGCTTAATTCTGCTTTTGCCCGGACACGAGACATGCACTGCCTGAGACTGAATTCCTTCTAATTCCTGCTAGTGGCTGACTATGCAAAGACAAAGCTTGGTGCCTTACATGGTATTTGAAGAGGTCGCGGGACATTCTTTGAGTGGACGGCAAGAACCACCGCGTCCACCGCTGACAGGCTGACCTGCAGGGCACTGCTGGCGCTGCTGGCGCGAGTAGTTCTTCTCAAGGTCGACGGCCTGTCTTTGCGTCTTCTCAGCCTTTTGTTCTTCTTCAAGATACTAGTCAGTGGTGACATCTTGGAGACTGAATTCTTTTCGAGCAGGGCCAGGTTTTTCAGCAAATATACCCGCGTTTGTCCCTCAGTACAGCGTTTGTGTTCGTGGGCTACATTTGGTCAAGTGAGAGTACATGACATGGTCAGGCCCAAGCCACTTCGATTTGAGCAAAAAGACAGCAGGAGAGCCTAGGACAAAGGAAACAGTGTGCAGGAAGCACAATCCACCGAAAACAACTTCATTTCTTTTCTTCCAGGAGGTCAAGCGAGACCCGGACAAGCGTGGGATGTTCAGTTGGTTCTACTTCAAGCACATGGCCCAGCTGCTGTCGAAGCTGGACCAGCTAAATATGCTCATAAGCTATGTATTTGGTGCCTTTTTGCTCAGGTGCACCAGGAACAACTTCACTGACTCCGCGACTGCCAGTTCAGCCTGTTTAGCGAGTGAGGGGTGCTAAGGGACAACCCCCACCAATATGTCCTTTGTGATCGCGCAAGAGTTTCTCTCTCCAGTCGCTTGTTAATCTCTCTTGGTGAAGGTGCGAACATATGCCGGTCAAAGTCCAGCCCCCAGCGATTCCCTATACACAGCAGGAAGTATACTGGCCACACGCTGCAGGTATCCCTTTGAACATATCGTGCTATGTTTTTGTTCCACGGTGCAGAACAACTTTTTGATGGCCTTGCATCATTGGCTGTTATTCTTGGAACTCACTGCAGTTCTGACATGTACAAACCAAAGCCTTATTGCAGTTCTGAACTCACCGGAGCAGTACAGTGAGCATCGCTTTGTGCATCGACAGGTTTTGGCTTCCAACCTTTCTCGTAGCCCTTTCAGCGCGTGATTCAAGTCTTGAGGTCTCGAGTGGTGACATGCAGCAGTCCAGAGAAGGCACGAGAGAATTCAATTGATCTTGCTGAATGTTTGACACCCTGCCCATTGCAGGTCGGTGCCATTCAGCAAGGTAGGTCTCTTTGGATTTGCTTCTCACATCTCAAGTCGGAGCTGTCACCGGCTGTCCAGCCAATGTTGCTGCAGCTCGAGAAAAGTGCCTGCGACCTGTTGTGATTTATCTATCATGTTTGTTGGTTTGGGATTCTTTGCTGATCTGCTCGCTCGCTCAAACTTGCATTGTTTTTTTGCACGCAGATAGGATTATTGTGTTTTTTGGACATCAGACGCATGTAAAGTATACAATGAGGAGGGAAATTTGTGCTAGCTAGAAAAGCATGCAATCCCAAAGCAGCCATTGTGTATTTTTGCAAAGCAACATTTACCAGCTCATCCCGCATTTCATTTGTTTCTCTTTGGGAGGATAGGCTGGAGTAGTGAGATGCCTTCCATGGAGCTTGCAGACAGGATACATGGAGGTGCTCCATCGACTGCTCTGTGACGTTGAGAACCTTTCTTGATGTCAGGTGGACTCTGAAGTTGTGGACTCTGAGGTCGCCCCCTGGTCGATCAAGAATGACAGACCAATACACCAATGCCCCCTGCGAGGAGTTACGATCTAGAGCCTCGTCTGCTGAGCCGTCTCGCGGGTCGGAAGCTCAGTGGACATGGCGACCTGGACCGTTTCTCTGACCGTTTCCGCCACAGGCAGACACCAAGAGCACCTGGATCACCGGAAGCCGTCCAGCCATCGCCGCATGGGGTGCCCACGAGGTTCTATGCGAGTGAATGCGCTTCTGATTCGTGTGTGAAAGGTATTTCTTTCACAGCCTGCTTCTATTGCCTGTCCCTTAGAACAAGGGCTACCAAGAGACAAACTATAATCATCAAAATGTCTAGGATGAGCCCTTGTTGCTGCTGGATGAAGAGGCAGTTCAGGCAGTTTGAGTGCAGTTTACTCACCGTTTCGAGAGCTTTCAAGTTCTGTTTTTCCTTTCCAGCTGCAGGCACAACATGAAGCTGAACGAGTTGCACTGAAGGAGGTACAGGGACGGTATCCCTTTCCTTCCCATGAGCAAAACAACACCTTGTCGTGCAGGAGCTTGCTGAAGCGCGGCGAAGTGGGAAAGCAGACCGCGCAGCACTTGATGCCTTGACTACTTCCTTGGAGGCGCGGCCCTTGGGCCTGTTGTTTGCAAATGAGCTGCGAGTCACCGTTCAAGGAGCTCAAACGTGAGCGTGAGGAGACCTACCGGGAAAGGCGGAGGCCAGGAAAGGAGCTCCTAGTAGCGTCCTTGTTCCTAGTAGCGATGCCATTTGTTCCTAGTAGCAGGGTGCTTATAGGAGCTCCTTTCTTGTGGGTTTGGGATGAGCAGTTCAACTTTGTTGATGTTCTAGGCTGGAGAAGGAAAATGAGGCCAGGCTGAATGGTTTGCAGCTAATGCCGCTAACGCCTCCGGTTCAAAGCACCTCAGGTTCTTCGCTTGCAGCTCCAGGATCACCATGGTATCATGGTCTAGCCCTTTCCTGCTAGCTTTGAAGAACCCGTCCTTGTGCTGGAATGGTCCCACACCAAAGCCAAGGCAGCTGAATGGGGACAGACGCTACAATTCCAAGAAAGGCGCCAGACAAGAGCTTTACAACTTCAAAGAGTGTGTGTGTGTGTGTGTGTCCCACCCTGGACAAAGGGTTTTTCCACCACCTTCACTTCACTTCACTCCACAAGCAGGGGATGGAGACACCTGTATTGCTTCTCCATCAACGAAGCTGGCAATACATGGTGAGGATATCAGTTCCGGACGCGGAACTGACGTACCTGCTTTCAACACAATGACTCCACTGGTCCACCCTGCCGCTGTTCTTTGTTTCCATGGTTCTTCATGCCTCCACCCCCC